CTTTTTCGTATACCAACACTTAAAAAAAGTAACTTTATAACCCAAGCAAGTGCAATTTCAGCTTTCCAACAATTATAATTATTTTCAGGATTTCAAGAAATCTGAAATGTTGCAAAAGTTGGCAGAATTTAAATTGAGAATATTTTTAAAATAAATGTCTGAACAAAATTCCAGAATACTCGACTTAATTTTTTTCATTTCGTATATAAATTTTTCAGTTGGGTTTGATATGAAAGGTAGGAGATTAAAAAAACTGAAAATGTTTTTATTTATTACTTTTTCTTCACCTGCTTAATTTAATTATTGTAACAGTTTATAAGTGTGGTTTTCTCCAGGCTTAAATTCAATAAAATAAAATTCAGTGAAACTGAAGCATCCTACTGTTAAACACCTGAGCTGGGAATATTTGTGTGAGATACTTATAATCCCAATTGTTTGATCTCGACATCCACTATAGGCTATTTAAATTGGAGAATCAATACTAAATCTCTGTATATTTCAGTTAGTCCTCCTCTGAATATAACTCCATTTAACTACTGACTGGGTAGGATAACTATACTGGATATTGAATAAAAATTAACTTAATCTGCAGATAAACAAATATCAATGATACCTACAATCCAATAGTTCTCAGTTCTGAAGATTTAAAACACAAAATAATTGTGCAGAATTCTTAAACTTGCAAGGTTTCATCACACCGGTGAAAGCTTGGTGGAGATTAAATTATAAATTTAAATTTGTTTTTGTTCATCTCATCCCATCTGTGGTTTTAATTTAGCTACAGGGTGTAGATAATAAACTTCACCTTAATATTTACTTTAGTTACAGGGTGAAAATAATAAACTGCAGTTTCATATATGCTATATCTAAAGGGTGTAGATAATTAAATTATATATTATCCATATTTACTTAAGATACAGGGTGTACATTATAAACCTTTATTTCAGTTTAATTTGAATAAAATGGCAGATTCAGAAAGTGAAGTAAGTGCAGCTGAGGTATAAATTAATTAGCTTTTAAAAAATTTATTTATTTTTGAACCATATCGATGTTGTTACGAGACCTCTCAAGTCAAAACTGATAAGTGTAAGAATAAATGTTTAATATTTAAGTCCTGTGAAGCTATTGGAACTGGAACACTTTCAACTTTTCATAAATTCAGAGAAAGGTAGGAATTCAATGATTTTTATTAAAGGCGCTGTAGACCTTCGTTTAATAAGTGGCTAGTCGGATTCACAACAGTAAATAAATAATGTGGATGATGAGAATCCACAAATATTATTAAACAATACTTTAACACACAAAGAGGTTAAGGATACTGTTGTGAATTGTAGTTGCTAATTTAACAGCTGCCCTGTAAGGGACTGTACATTATTTAAACACTCAGCATAGTAACAGGGTGTCCCACTTCTGCAGATTGGATCGTTTTATAGGTTTAAATTGTCGGGACTAATCAGAAAATCTAAAAAGAACGAATCATTAAAAAAAATGGAATATTACTGATTTAAAGATTGGCGTTATAAGCTTTGAGATAATCTAATATGATATGGGACACTCTGTAGATAAAAGACTTTCTGTCACCTCATAACTCCAGGAATTATGGAGCTCTGAAGAACAAAATTGTAAAAGACTGAAAGCATCATAGGATCCAATTATTAACTTTCAGGAATGTTGGCAAAAAGTGTTTATATTATATATCTATATAATTTCTTTGTAAAAGTTGTGTAATCTGTCATCTCTAAGGGCTTAAAAGGGGGAGGGCTTAAATTGCTCCACCCCTCTTTAGCTCGAACAAGGTATAAGGAAGAATACATATTAATTTACAAAAGTACATTGCGTTGTAAGCAACTAAGCATTACAGGCTTGTCTTATAAATCAACTTCAACCTCAACTTGAACTTTAAAGGTTTAACAAGTTTCTACAGTAAGACCCATAAAACTGTGGAATAGGAGGACGACCGTTATATAACGACGACAAAAAAAATTAAAAATTACACAGTAAACTAATTAAATGTTTAGGAACATATTTCTCAAAAGAAATTGTCAATAAATCAATGTTAGAATCCATTATTTCATTTTCATCATTTTTTGAATTTCTTTCTTCTACGAGTTTGTTCTCAGATTTTGTTTCCATTTTTTGCCGTCGTTATTTTATAATTTAAAAAAAAAAGATTCTAAAAACGTACCCACCCAAATTCATAATTTTTAACGTCGACTTTTCACTCAAACTCAGTAAATATACGTCGTAGAGACGTTATATATGTCTCAAATAAATCCTAAATAATTGTACAAAATACTACAGATTACATTGCCGATCACTCCCTTTAAATCAAATTAGCAAAGAGATTGCAAGCGTAATTTTAACTGACCTTCCATGCAAATATATATGGAAATACAAATTTTACAAGAGCTGAAAACTTTAGAATGAAATATCCAGATGTCCGATCAATTTGCTTCTCTGGAGTTTAAATTCATGTGGAGAACAAGCAATATTTAAACTGGATATTAAGAAAAGAGTGGTTTAAGCCTTAATCCTGATATCCACCATTCTAAAGTTTTCAGCTAAGGGTACTTTATTATCTAATCAATAATGTGGAAGAAACTGTCGTTTTTCTAGATTTCTAGATTAAATGAAAATTGTTGCATACCAAAAACCCGCTTTTTATAAAGGAATGTGTATTTATGATAAGTCTTATGTGTTTTCTTACATTAGAAATACGCAAGTCAATTTTGCAGAAAAAAATGCGGTAAAAAATTCAGTTTTAGAAATTATAAGCATTAGTATAAAATGCCACCTTTATTGTTGCATTTCATTTTTTTCGGACTATTCGTCCTTTTCATTTTCCTATTCCATAGATTTATAAGTCACACTGTATCAAAAAGATTTATAGTGGTTCTGTGTACAAATATAGGAAGCGTGAAGCGAGTAGTTGGATGAAGCTAATCTACAGAGTCAAGCTAGGAGGAGAAGGAAGAAACTTAGCTTGGCTTCAGGCCGGTCACACTCCCGTCACTGATTGGGATGTTGTTTTCCAGGTATACATTTATATTCTAGGGTGGGACTCAGTTCTCTTAAATTACGGAAGTGTTTGAAAATAAACGGAAAATTGAAAATATTATTTTCAATTTGAATTATGTGACACTTTGCATGTTGTGCAACACAAAACGCAATTTGACGCAATTTCGCAATTGCACAGTACATAAAAAAGATACACAATAAGAATTGTCGAAATGTTATTCATACACATTAAAAATTCTATATTTTGTTATCTCTAACCCTTAAAAATGTAACATTGTGAAAATTAATGGGCATAAATAAATAAATGGAATTAAATGTTAATAACGGTAAATAAATGAAGTAAAATGTTAATAATTGTAAATAAATGTGAATAAATGAAAATAAATGTGAATAACGGTAAATAAATGAAGTCAAATGCTAATAATTGTAAATAAACGTGAATAAATGAAAATAAATGTGAATAACGGTATATAAATGAAGTGATATGTTAATAATTTTAAATAAATGAGAATAAATGAAAATAAATCTGAATAAATAAAAATAAATGCAAAAATGTAAATTAATGAACATAAATAAAATCAAATGAAATTATCAATGAAAATAAATCAATATAAAGGAAAATAAATGTTAAAACAGTAAATATATGAAGTAAAATGTTAACAACTGTAAATAAATGTGAATAAATAAAAACAAATTTGAATAACGGTAAATAAATGAAATCAAATGATAATAATTGTAAATAAATGTGAATAAATTTGAAAATAAATCTGAATAACAGTATAGATGAAATGAAATGTTAATAATTGCAAATAAATTTGAATAAATGAAAAAAAATGTGAATTACTGTAAATAAATGTAATGAAATGATAATAATTGTAAATAAATGTGAATAAATTTGAAAATAAATCTGAATAAGTAAATAAATGTAATGAAATGATAATAATTGTAAATAAATGTGAACCAATGAAAACAAATTTTAAAAAAGTAAATGAATGAAAATAATTGTAAATAAATAAAATTAAATGAAAAAAATGAAAATAATTTTAAATAAATGAAAATAAATGAAAATAAATGTAAATAAATGTAAATAATTGAAAATAAATGAAAATAATGTCAATAAATGTAAATAAATGAAAATAAATGTAAATAAATGTAAATAACTGAAAATAAATGAAAATAAAAGAAAATGAAATAAATTAAATGAAAATAAATTTCTGAAAATAAATGAAAATAATGTCAATAAATGTAAATAAATGAAAATAAATGTAAATAAATGTAAATAACTGAAAATAAATGAAAATAAAAGAAAATGAAATAAATTAAATGAAAATAAATGCAATTGAAAGTAAATATATTACTAAGGAAGTGTATGATGATGAAGGAAATGAGGAGGATATTATAGATCTATTTATGAAAGTAAATATATTATTCAGGAAGTGTATGATGATGAAGGAAATGAGGAGGATATTATAGATCTATTTATGAAAGCTGGAGGCAATAGAACATCATATCTAATCGGTAATTAAAAATCCTTTATTCAGAAACAGATTGTTAACATAATCAAGCCTTATGTGAAAAGTACAAATGCACAGTGGATCTCTTCAACTCATTTGTAAAGCAATGTTATATGATGATCGTACCAGACACCAGATCGTACCAGACACCAGAAAAATAAAGAAGAGAAACAAATGGTCTCTATCTAAATTGTTTTAGGACAAAGATTTAAAACGAACTGTTTTGAATCTTGTTTTTAGACTTTTTCAGATTGAAGATAAAAATTAAATGAAGTTAAAATAAAAAACAAAAATATTTGTTTTGCAGAGGGTGAAAGTGAACCAAGCTTGTGCCTGTTGAAACAAATAGCAGTGGATTGGGGGAAATCTGCTTCATATCTAGAGGAAAACAATCATAATAGTTTAATCAGATAATGTTTTATTTCTTGTCTATTCAGTTTCAGACTGTTCTGTACAATGTACATGCCTAGTGTACATGCCATTCAGATGTCAGAGAACTTCCACTTTCAATCCCATTTTACCAATCACAGAGAGAAAAATTTCAAAAAAGGTTTTTCCAAACCAAAATTTTTAAAGTTTTGAGGTTGAACCTAAAATATGTTGAACGACGAGACAAACAGAAAATAGTAATGTACAATCATGTTTTTAAAAAAAGGCTTAATTGTATTTAAAAGTATTTATAAAACTGCTAAAGTTGTTTATTTTAGAAGTATAAACTGGTTGTTCTGCTAGATTCAACAACACTTCTAGATCATGATATTGACAAGGTTATGAGAGGGGTTAAAGGAACACTTATAGATCATGATATTGACAAGGTTATGAGAGGGGTTAAAGGAACACTTCTAGATCATGATATTGACAAGGTTATGAGAGGGGTTAAAGGAACACTTAT